TTTTCTGAATATTTGAATTTCATCTTCTACATCAAATGCATATATTATATTAACGGACATGCAAGCAAATGCATATATATCATACAAATATCGTAGAAATTCTTTTCAAATTCTTCCAATTTTAAAACCTCACTTATTTTCATTCTATTTTTTAAATCAAATGCATTTATATCATACAAATATCAGCGGAAGAAATTTTCTTCAAATTTTCCCCACTTTAAATTTTATTTTCTATCATCATTTGCTGCTCCTACTCCTATATAGGGAAACTTCTAATATTTCCTATTTATTTCAACCACCAAAAATTTGGAAAGCGAGAAAAGTTTTCGCCATTTTGCATCAAACTAATATATCTCCATTCCTTTTCTTTCTTCTTCCGATCCCTTCTTGCATTCGTACCAATGAATGATATCATAATTGAAACAACGAATATTTTCAAACTTATCATAAATCTTCATTTCTTCTTCTCTCTCCCCTTTCCTCCGATATTTTTCAAAGAATTCTAATCTCTCATTATCAAATATCACTTCTAGTGATTGTATATTTGCATCTTTTAAAGTATAAGAACGAAATCGAATTATGTTTAATATTTTGCATAATTAATTAATTACTCACTAATATGCATTCCGCTGTCAACAAAATTTCTACGTTTCTGTAAATTAACAAAAAAAAAGAAGTAATATTAGAGAAGAGAGAAATTCTATGTGATTTATGATCAAAAATTTAAAAAAAAAATAGAGTGAGATTATTTGGGAGAGACTACTCTTAAATAGCTGTCACTAAAAATATGACATATTCCGGTTTTTAACTGATTTTTTCAATTAAAAAAAAAGTTGTGCCATTTTTTTCCTACGTTTATGTATAGTTAATTAATATGAAAACAGGAAAAAAGGGAAAAGTTAATGGATTCCGAATGAGTACAGCTATCTTAATTTCATTGGTTCGTCTACCGCTTCCATTTTACAAAGCATACAAAATGAATAATGAACATTCCTTCCATGCTTAAATTTAAAATGTAAAAATGAAATAATTTTCTTTCCAAACTAACTTTCAATTACTTGAATAATAAAAATTCGATATACGATTATGCCATAAAATTTTAATTCTTTTTCAATTATAATCTTAATTATTTTCTTTTCAACAAAATTGATCACTGTACTGTTAACAAAACATCTGTGATAAATAAATACTTCAACAGCTAGCAAACGAATATTGATTACTGAAACAAATATTGGCTGAAAACTAGAACAAGAGTATCACAGATTAAACAAATAACTTAATAATTCATATATTCTTAAAACACAATTCACGATACTAGAAAATGAAAGATTAGAAGTGGGTAGTAAAATTAAATATAAACAATAATTACTGGCTTTAATAAAATTTAATAAAATGATAATTATTGCCTTTCTTAAGCCATAGAATTAATAATTTTATTTTTTGTAATGAGAGAACAAAATTTATTTAATTGAAAAATGAGGAAACATAAAACATAATACTGTTACAAAAATTCATAAATACTGCAAATGGTATATTCATAATAGAATGTATTCAGTGACAACCTTATTTAGTATTCATTAATGCAATAGTCAATTATCATTGCTTTAATGAAAAGCTTTAATTCTAAATATTTAAAATGTATATCGTAAAGGTGTCCACAAAAAAAAAATGTATCGCAGAGATTTCCGAGATTTCCAGTGAAAATAACATAAAATTTCCACCCATGTATATTATCCCTTTAATGATCAAATCTTGTATAAAGTTTTCACAAAGTTTTAAAACTAGCCGTAGAAATAAATGATAATTTAGGGAACTACAAAATGATTATAAAATGCTGCATCATTATATAAATGATTAAAAAACACGAGCAAAATATTATCTGAAAATACCAATCAACACCATATTTAATCTGCCTAACACACAAAAAATATATCTTTAGCATATTTTGTGATAATTGTTGAAATTAAATTCATCTTAATAATATATTGATGAATTGCATGTTCAACAAAAATAAAAAAAAGAATAAACTGAAATAAAATAATTAAAAATTTATAGAAATTGCAGAGTAGTAATAAAAGAACTGAAAGAATACTTCAAATTTTCAACACCGTATGCTAAATACACATATAATCTTAATTAAAATTTTGTAATATATTGATTAATTATGTTTTACACACATAATTTGAAAAGAAAAATATTTTTGAAATTTATCAAATATAATTCCGAAATTTATCATCAGAGAAATATGTTAATAGCAATTTGGAAGATTTTGAACTTTATAAAAATTACGATAGCATCTCATAGGTCACTTCGGATTATATGACTGGATGTGAGAGTACACTGTAATAATCGCGGGATGTATAGCTCGATGATGAGATTAATGATTCCATATCTGCATGAGCCGAATGATAGGATCCAGTGATCGATGTTGATTTTAGCGATAGAGAAGAGGGACTGAAATGCATTCTTCACTGTGACAAATTTAAAGTAATCTTTCCTCTCTTTTTTGCGGGGAGAGAAGAAAAAAGGTAGGGCTCAGGAATAGTACGAAAAATCTTTAGGTGATATGAAAATGATTAAAAATAAATTCGACCCGAATTGTATAATGGCTGAAACTTGTTCAATTTATGATTTCATCAATTTTTCTAATCTGAGGAAACAAGTATTTTCGTAAAACTTCAAATTCAGCCATTTTATTTTAAAATAGTTTACGGTGATCGATTCTGACAAGCATTTAATGATTCCATCATTAGTTAATTTAAAGTAATTGAATAAAGGAATTCGTTCCTTTTATTGTCAAAAAAAAGGAAGACAAAACAAGATATACAAATGGTAAATTTAATTCTCTTCAGGCTATTTTAATCATCTTAGTAGGCAATAAATTTCCTTAAAATATAACAAAAGAGGCAATATGAAGAAACTATCCAAATTATAAGTTATCAGCGAAAATAAATGCGTAAGTTATCCATTTATTGTAATAATACAAGTTATGAAATGCAGATGCCAGATGCTTTTACAGAGCTTTGCAAATTAAAACTAACAAGCAAAAAAGCAAATTTGTTTTTGTCCTTTTTTTTTAGTATTCACCGTTTATAGAAGAAATACATTGACAATAACAAAAACAAAAAGCAACACATCGAATTTCAGTTGCATCATTTATTTCAATTGATAAAATGAAATGTTCCCAAAAATTAACAGTAGGATATCACATGCATTTTATATTTGCATGCATTGCATTTCATGCTATACTAGTATGAAGCTGTGCAGAAAAAGGCGAAAAGTAAGAAAATTTAGATTTAATGCTTACTGCATCTCAAAAAAAGCGAAAAGCGTAGAGATATCGGTATTACCGCAGAAAATAGCAACATATAATAAATACACGGATATATATTGAAATACATCATAAAAAAGAGGTGTCTTCAAAAAATGAAATCTGGAAATGGAATAAAGAAAGGTGGGAGATGATATAAAGTAAGAACATTCGAAGGTACTCAGAATATTTCAAAACTCAAAAACGACATTACTTACAGAGAAGTTTTTGTCGATAAACAAGAAAACGATAAAACAATAAAAATAAGCCTCATAAAATAACATTTAAGTTTTTGATTTAAAATATATTTCCAGGCTGAAAAAACTGCGGAAAATGCTGCACATGATAGAAACAATGAAAACCACAAAAGAAGTAATATTTAGAAGAGATTCTTTACAAATTATTAAATATTTGCACCATTTTATATATAGCTTCATAACATGTATGCTGCAGATCAATCGATGACGATTAAACAGTGAACAATATGGTGAAAAGAAGCCGACTGTATTCAACTGCTCGATTTTCTGCTATCCATATCGGCTTTGTCAGGTTTAATGCTTTAAACAGAAGTTACTCCATTCTGTCAACTCCTGCTCGACACAAGGATAGCTACAAAACAATAGCTTCAGGATTGTTGAAAGTGGCACATCACAATTTTACAACAAACGAATATGAATTTTAAGCCATTTAAATACACAAGCACACATATGAGACATGCAATGTTAGGAAACAGGAAAATAATCCTCGGACGCAACTTAAAGATTAATCAGACAACCAATTCTAATAAGCCGATCTATTTTAATCAGCAATACCTGAGAGCCATTTTACTGTTATCATAAATATCAGTCGTGCTTGTATTGGTGATAATGGGAACGACAACAGTGAAAATGGTCGTCTGAGAACCATTTTTTTCCCTTATATATATAAACATGTAAACCACATATAATCTTACAAAGACGTGAATAAGGAACACTAGAGACTTTCAAAAATTAGATTTCATATGTTTATATATAAATATGTCTAAACCAGTAGTGAATCATGAACTGCTGTAATCGAATTATGAGTGCTGAAGAAACACAAACAAACAGTATCATAAAATACAGTACATGGTAAATTTCCTACAGACGTTCGCATGCATCGCACGTTTAAAGAATTTGAAGATAATTTAGCTGGATAGTTTTGGTAAATACCACTAGCATGACAGTGGCGGTAACAACCTCCTGCAATTACTGAAACCGAGTGGGAAAAGTGTTTGAAGCCATCAAAATGGAAGGAAGCTATAGTACATTTGAAAACAAAACTGGAGAAACATAGATTTCTAAAATCATGCTTTTTAGACCGATAGGGAGAAAGGAACAAAGAGATAATGAATTTGCTTTTCAACATTCTCAAGTTAATTTAACAAAAATAAGATAGAACAAATCACATCTTGAAAATGTGAAATCCATAAACCGACAGCAAATCATTGAAGTTCAGATGATAACATAATGGAAAATCCATGCATTCATTCTCCCAAACAAATTATATTTTAATTTTTCGTGATGGAATGTTAATGAGAGAATAATAAATACAATAACAAAAAAAGAAAAACAAGATATTCACGCTTCGGAGAATTTACAAATGAAGAGAAGAATTAATGCAGCGAACTTACAGAAGCTTATACCGCTGAGAGATGAAGCATTACAAGCGCTTACAATCTCTGGTTTCGTGATGCTGGTCGCGCTAATGGAGCCATTTGATTATTCCTGACTTCATTTACATTTGGTGCCATCATTCCAGTTATAGTAATATTATGTGAAGTGGTAACTTGCGCACCGCTGTCTGGTCTATCACTTCGTATAACATTACCCATTCCAGTTTCCACGTCTGATAATGGAAAAGCTCGTTCAAATTGAGAAGCTAAGCCAAATTCACGATTGAAATAACGAGCATCACACGATGGTATCTCACGACGCGAAAATACTTTTGCAACAAATAATGCCTAAATTCACGTTCGATATATTTTAACTTTTATGGAAAAAATTGCTGGAGTCTTTGCATCTTACACTTAGACAAGAAATATTATTATAACAAGATTCAATTTAATATACTCGAACAAACGTAATTTTTAGTCGACTTAATTTCGAAATGAAAATGGAATTTATGATTTGATGAAAAGGAAAAAAGGAATAACCACAACAATGCCAAATGCAGAACCGAATAATGAGCCAACCAACACATCCGACCAATGATGCTTGTAGTCGCTAACTCGGGTAAGGGCTACATATGCAGCGCCACCGAATAAAGCAAACTGAATCACCGGCAAAAGTAAGCGACTAAACAGTGGTCGGTAAAGCCGAGCTTCCAAGTAAAGCTGCAAAATTAAATTCATTGGTTTTTAAACAATTTTTATAAGAAACATTGGCAGTATATCTAATATACGATAAGAAAATTGTCTATACGTAGTATTTGCGTTAGTAGAACCGAATTATCATGTTGAATACACCCTAGAAAAGAATATTTAATGCATCTCCAAAAAAGAAAACTCACTGCCGTATACCATGCCGCATAAAAGCTGAAAGCAGAATGACCAGAATAGAATGAAAGCATGGATTCATGAAGAAGGTATTTATCCGTACCAGTACATTCGAAGTTTGTGATATATTCATGGGAATTACTCGGACATGTTTCGTAACCCTGAAATATTAACTTGAAATTAGAACTGAAATTTCAGAATTCCGATATTTAAAGAAATGATTGAAAGGTAATCCAAACAAAGAAGCGATAACTAACAGAGATCCACAAAATATGTTAATACCAAAACAATGTAGCTAACGGCACGAACGAAAAATATCCCAAAATAAGCAAATCAAAACACTTCCCCACTATAACAGATATTATATATTGCGTTAGTCCATTTCAAATTATAAAACTTCAAAATAATTATCCTCAATCATCAATACATCATAACAATTATACTAACAAAGTGAAAACGAAGATTGTTCAATCAGAGATCCAATTTCAAAGTTGTACATATATATATATATATAACTGATGCATAAAAAATTGGTAAAAACTATTTGATGAAATCAAACAAATTTTCAGATTAGCAAGTAGAGCCAAATTATATTCAATTACTTTCCATTTAATGGATTCAACTTTAAGCTGATATAGAACATTAAAAATGAATGAAAATGCTATTTTTATATTAACTAATAAAACAGTTTAATGTCAGCTACCTCAAACAAATATCTGTAGAAGTACATTTGAAAATATTTAGGAACAAATATCTTATTTCGATAAATCACAAAATCATACAATCTTACTTTAAAATTGCATCACAACGGACTTTAAATTGTTTTTTCGGCTCTCTAGGATCAACCAGCATATTCGTGATATTTGTTTGACTTCAGAAACAATGAAAATTTACGTTATACAGAATCAAAAACTAGTATTTTCAAACTCAGTACATATTAATAAGCAATCTCTACAATAAACAATTTTATATTATATTGAAAACAGGTGAAAATAATGTCCAGATTAATTTTTTTAATACTATAATAATAAAAGAGAGAAGCAGGAAAGTACTGATGAAACAGTCCTAAACGATGTGCAGGAAAGTGAAAACATAAAAATTATGATGCAAAATCTTGCATGGGATACTCGAATATAAATGTGAACTGCTTGCATTCGCTTCTGCACGCAGATCTTTGTGTGCGTGTAAGTGTATAGATGCATGCGTGTACAATTTGGCGTGAAAGCAATATGGTGGTCCTCCCAATACATGAATAAAACAAATACTAATATTTTCCTCTAAAAAATTTAATGATTTGGAATAAGCCCATAAAAAACAAAAATCTCCAGCTCATTAGGAAAACATTTTTTCGTTAAATGAAGAGTTTGATGCAAAATCAGGTGGCTGACTTTAGAAAACTTCATATAACCGATAGATCAATCAGCAATTTCTCAAAACAGTCGTCCTCAATGGTCTATGCTCCCTGTCCTTTATAGTATTTTCGAAGTTTTGCAAAAAGTTTGTCATAGTGTAGTACAGTTATCGATAGATACGCGAATTCGAGGTCTCTAAGAGCCAACAATCTTCAAATATTCAAATGATTTATAATTTTCCAAAATCAACCACATATTTACTCTTCGTACTTCATGCCTGAATGCTAGGTACGATTAATATGTGATCCACTAATAGCGAGATGCTGAATTTCCATGTGCTGCAAAAAATTTTTAAAGTAATACTATGTGTTCCGATATGACGCCAAAATTAGTTATTCTAGTTATTCTACCTACTGAACTAATCAATCATTATACATTACACAACGACCCGGTCATTGGAAATATTGTAAGGTATCATGATTATAGCTAAAACAACAAATTATTACATCGTTAATTCTATTAAACAAAACCATCAGCATTACACAATCAGCTGCCAATGTATTACTATTATAACTAACACACTAATTTCAAAAATAATGATCCAAATCAAGAACTTCAAATAATGATACAAATCACGCTTTAATTTTCGTAAATTTAAGCTTTTACTACTAAAATTACATCATTTGTAACTTTCAATCCCTTTTCCTTTCTTTAGGGAAGTGCCTCGAGTACAACGTACCACACAATTCACTGTTATCATATTTTTCAATTCTGGTCGTGAAGAACTGAGAGTTAGTGTTTTCTACTGTGGAACTAAAATACTGAGAGAAGCTGTTGTAATTGCACCTGAGGTTAAAATCATTACAAAAAATCCCCAGCTAAAAAATATGAGCAAAAGAAGTATTAAAAAACAAATGATTTAACAAAGTCTTCATATTGATGAATGAGATATGAAGTTCTTCGCGGTGTGAATCGTACAAAGATTTAAATTGGAAATTATTTGTGAACAGAGCTAAGAAAACATATGGTGAAACAAGCACTTGAATGAATAGTGTCTTCACGTCCATGAGTACAGGGTAAAAATGTTAACAGCGAACTTGAAACATTTCCCTTCTATATATATATATGCGGTGAAAAACATAAACATATATTAACATTAGTGTGCCTGAGGATTCCAAGACAAATAATGTGTACAATTTCGAGGATTTTAAAATGTACCTTTGGCTTGCAAATTGCTATAAAATGAGGCCTATGCCGCCCGATAGTATATTTCGCTATATCGACCATTAATTGATTGAAAATGACACCAACAAGAAAATATCCTGCAATTTTTGGAATAAAAATGTATAATGTTATTACATTTAATAACATTCAGCTATATGTCGATATATTTCGGTTGCATCAAGAGAATCACGCTCATATATAATCCAAAGAAGAAAGGAAAAAAATAAACAAGTTCCTAATAAGACAAGCTGAACATCATAATAAAGTGACAGGTAAACTTTGCTGACGATGCGTTTTAAAAACCAATGCTTTAAAAAATAATCACACATCTTTAGCAGGTGATGATTAAGTCAACGCCTTAAGAAATTTAACGAATAGCAAATTATCAGTTAGCTGCTACTATGCTTATAATTGCAATTTTATGATAAAAATTGAAAAAATAGAAGGAATCATTGTTATATTACTGCGAAATAACATGTAATAAAATCCATACCCACCAAAGAAAACATAAAGACGAACAATGATACGTGGTACAGTATGTCGCCGGCACTGGTAATGCAAAAATTCGTTTCTACATTTTCGTTCCCATGTTAGTGCACGAAATGTTTCCGTTGATATAATCTGAAATGGATTTGTTCATTAAATATTCTGTTGATTTTCTTACAATGTTAGCTATAAAATCCAACAAGATTTTATCATTACATTGGTTTTCTGATCAAAATTTTGTTTTGTATAAAATAGAATTATTAATTCGTCTCTATGCAAAAAGGTGGTCACTATTTTTATCTGAACTTCGGACGAATCAATATTCCTTCATGAAAACAATACGAAAAAAGGAGTAGGAAGAGTAAAAAAGAAAGAAGCAAATGATTTTACAAGAACTGCCGGTACAACTAGACCGATAACAATAAGCATATGTCGAGAAACGGTAGATGGTCGATACGGATATCGAATTGTTTCATCATCACAATAAAAACCACGTTTGTATGGTTCAACCCATTTGTGAAATATTAACAATGGTATAGCTGAAAAAAATTTCATAAAAAATGAAAACAAAACATAAAACTCTGAATAATGAATGTAGAAACCCAAAATTAACATGTTAAAACACTAATTATCAGTGGTATTATTTGTCGCAAATGCTAGAATACTACTTAATAAAAGTGAAACTTATCAAGAAGTAAAAATAAAAGCTAAATAAGTATGTATGGAGTAACTGTTAGATTGCAGTAGTTATCCATATGTATGGAATATTATTTATTAGTGAAGATAGAAAAATATTATCTAATATCGCTTGTCAATAAATATCAAAATCATATGGCAGCAAACACAGTGAGGAAGAGTCAAATTTCAGAGGCTTAGACAAACATAAAAAATTAGGAATGTTTGGTATAACCTATAAAAAAAATGTATCAAAAATGTATTAAGCACTAGTTTCGTTTCTTATAACACAACGATCAATAGAATAGATCTTTTGAGTCATAAAAATAGACAATACCAACCACAAAGTGTTAAAACAATAAAATCGGCAGCAATTCTTGAAATACTGAGTTCGACCATTTCGGTTTATTCGCCTACTGTTCCCAGGATGAATCCGTTCAATACAATATTTACACTTGCATTACACAGGAAAAAATCGAATAATCGATAAAACGATCAATCTTCCGGATCTTTCTTAAATAAGTTAAAAAAAATAGTAACAGATTATTCCTGAAATAAAACAAAAATCATTAAAACTTCCCAGTAAATATCAACAGCATCTAAAGATGTCCAAGAAGAAATAATAAGACACTGATTCAATTCGCAATTTTTATGTGCTTACTAAGAAAAATTACATCGTCGTACGACGACTTCACATGATGGGCAACACAGAATGACTCACTATTATTAGTAAAAGTTTATAAAACCTTAGAACATGTTGAATCATTAGAATAAACGATACTGTCCATCAATTATAATGATAATAATAAAATTCGTTAAAAAGCAGTCCTAATATTTCGGTTACACTAATTTTTCGGTATTACAGAGGGTATAGAAGAAACCAAATAAGAAACCAATAATAATATCAACTTTCCGTTTTTCCGGTATTACAACTGAACTAGTGAGAATAAACACTTCAAATAACAACATTATTTTTTTAACCACAAAAAGATTACAAAATGTGTTCTTATGTTCAATCTAAAACTGATCTTACTCTAATTTCAAACTAATCTCATTCTACTCTATTATAGATGACATCTCCTCTACTCAATCTATATAAAAAAATCCATTTTCCTTCTCTATATAATGCTCATTTTCTCACTTTCAAACTTATACGCATACTACGGAAATCGTTGTCCTCTTTTACTATCCTTTTATCAATTCATTTTATCCTTCTGTATAGCAAACTTTCCAATTAAACCTAATTACTTCAAATAATCGACTGAAGTGACTTCCTGAAAAAAGAAGGAAGAAAAAAATTCATATATAACATATAATTAGGATGCATATCACTTCTTATCATCTCTCACAAAGATGCATATCATTCCTTATACTATGCGGAAAGCTATTAATGTAATGTAATGATAAAGCAAGTGATAAGGGCTAAGAATTTATGATTTAATTTTGTGAAAAATTTACTTTACTCTCAGAAGGTAATTTTATCCAAATTTCCTCTTTATTTATTCAACGGAATGATGCTAGAAGAGATAAGAATAATAGTGATAAGAGAAATTACCGTTAAAAAATATTACTCGATTCTCTTCTTCTCTAACGATACCCCTCATCATTCCCATTAAAAACATACAAAGGGAGGTGCTACACTGAGAAAAGTGCAGCATTGCGAGAATGTAGTGTGCATAAAGAAATATATGTATCATTGTCAATCAATGCACGGAGCAAAGCAATAATGAAATGCGATGTGCATTGCAATTATTGAATTCGATTCGATTGAATGCATATTTCATGGATGTTCTTTTATCTAATCTAAAATCCTCTCGTGAAGTTTATAGGACTGATTAATTTGAATAGAAAAAAGTTTGCAAAATATTTTCAGCTCTTTTAAATCAATCGATTAATAATCTTTGCATACAATAAATGGAATCGAAAAAAGGATTCAATCAAACAAATTGGTATTTGTTACGCTGTTTTATAAACTTATCACCCTTATGAATAGAAATTTGAAAGTATTTTATAAACTTTACATAAATGAGTCATAGAATATATCGAATCACACATACATACATACATACATACATATCTCTGCACATACATATAATACACACATACGCAGACACATACGCGAACGCATAAGCGTACGCATACGCACATATAAAAGAGATGTATGCAAATACACGAATGTATACAGAGATACTCCACAAACAACTGTAAACATATATATGAACAGGTAGGTAGATGCGCATACGTCAGTGTGACCACCATTTAACGTAACAAATTGCGCATCGTTATATTAATGAGTAATGAATAGGAAATATTTACTAATAATTCTAACGAATTATGTAATCTATAGCCAAATTATCCTTTGTTAGCCAATAGAAAATGATAAAATTTATTAATTTCCAAAATTAAATTTGAAGCTAAAAATTGCCATACTCATTAACTAATATACTTAATTAAAAGTGTTTATTTATATCTGTAATGAAGTAAAAAGACCACCATTAGTGTCAACATAAAAAAATTGAGAAAATATAAGATTGTCACAATAATTGAAATTTACCCCTTCATCTCTTCATTCTCTTTACACTCTCTCATTTCGATTTTTTCACTAACTTCTTAACATTCTTATTTGAGCAATATTTATCATTTTCTTCAACTATCTAACATCATTTTTTTATATCTTCAAAATTGTATCGTTTTTCGATTTTATCACATTCTTTTTCTTTGTATATTATGTTGATAGTTAAAATAACAATGGAAAATATATAAACTAATCAATCAATAAATGTATTAATGAATTGTGAAATAAAGAAATAAAACTGTTAAATATAGCGTTGTTAATGTAAGAGAAAAAGCGAATAATTTCCTTTCATTCTTTCTGCTTAACTTTTACAATATGCACGTATCAATGACTCATTGATGATTCATCAGTACGTGCATATTCGAAGCAAATATTTTTAGTAGAAAAAGATTTTTCAAAAAAGAAAAGAAAACGATGAGCGAGTAAAATTATAACAAATTCAATTCATACAGTTTTTTCCAAATTTAATTTTAAATAGTCAATTAAATTTGCGGTAAATGCAAACTTCTGTTAAGCAATTGCAAATAGCATTAGGGATCGTATCAAATAAATTGATTGATTAGCTGATCATATTCGGAGCACTTGATCATATATCTTTCACCTCACATTAAACTAATCAAATCATTATTAATTTAATTTTATTAAAATTTCACAAAAGTCACCAATCCTGATATCATCACAATATTATACTTTAGTAAAGTATAATATTCCCACAAGAGATTAAATTATTGATCCATTGGTAAATAATAAGGAACGTGTAAATGATCATTGTTTAATTAATCATATCATTTCTAATTATATAACTAAATCAAAAAAAAAGAATTTAATTTAATTAAGGAAGATATAATTTAGCCAACTGATCAATAAATTATTTTCGCAAATTTATTTCAAATTAAAAATAAATAATCGAAATTTATTAATAGCCTTAAATTATTACAAACAAAATGGTAAATTAATTACTATTAATCGCTAAGCTTTATGTCTTATTTATTTATACACAAAGCCTTTCGTGTTCATGAAAAATCAATGAATCTATTTTTATCATAAATCAAAAATGCAATTATATTGAGAAAAACTGGAAAGCAGAAAGAGAGGGAGAGAGAGAGGAAAAGTGCTACAATTTCTGCATCATTAATACATACCTGATAGTTTTCAATAATTAACAAAGCTACCACTTAGAGATCAAAAGTTTCATATTATATTTTAAATGAAAAAAAGAAATGAAATTATCACAACAATTGCGATTTATCAAACCAAAAGAAAAAGAATAGTTATTTTTAATTTGTTAAAATATAACAAAAAATGGAAATGGCAAAGAAAAGTTTTTTTATTTAATTTCTTTTAGTTAAATTGAAAATAAATAAAATGAAATGAAAGAGAAGAAAATGAAAATTAGAAAGCTGCAATTTTCGTTTTAAGGCTTTAAGGCTTTAAGGCTTTTTAGGGCTTAAAAAACGACGAAAAAAATGTAAACATTTTTTGCTTTGCTTCAAACTAATTTTTTTGCATATATGTGCATTATATATGTATGTGTGTGTGTGTATCTGTGTGTGTGCGTGTATGTGAGTGTGAATGTCATTTCATTTTCTCCTAAAGTAATTAAATAGAGAATGGATTAAACATAAATTAGTTGGCGATAACAAGTTTAATATCAATAAATTCAAACTTGTTATTCGGTTTGTCCTTTTATGAAAAATTTTTCCCACAAATGAAGAGATACAAAATGTTTAGAATAATCTGCTAAAAAAAATAAATTGCAATTTTATTCAAAATTATATTTCAATAAAAAGCATTCCGAAAATCTGAACAATTATAAATTATAATACGAATTGATGATCGGATCATTTTTTTAAATTTAATCCGTTAATTGAATACTCAATCAAATAATTGTATATTTTGATGAATAGTTATTGAATATAAATAATAAATGAGCATAAATGAATAGTAAAATTTAAACTCTTTTTAAATTCAATAAATTCAATTTAAATTTAAATTCAAATTTATGCAATCGAATTCTATTACTCATTTTCAATTTATTGTAATCATATCAGCATTATTTTTTTCACTACGATTTGTAATGTAAACAATAGAAAGATTATAAAGTTTCATTGAAATAATTAAATTTATTCTCGAAAAAGGAATGACAATATTTGATGATATAATAATTAGTCAATAATTTGTTTTTAATCTAATTATACACCATTTAATATGTATCATAATTCAGTAACATAAAATTTCATATGAAACATTCAAATTTTTGATGCGAAAAATTTTGAATTTATAAAAGTACTTAATTTGAAAAATTTTTTCACAATCAAATATTTGTTATCGAATTAAATTTGTTTGTTGTTAAATGAATGAGATTAAGTTTGCTATCGAATAAAATCAAATATTTATCTGTCAAATAAAATAAGTAGATCGAACTGAATTGATCATTTCATTTCTATTATTCATTGAAATTCATAACTCTATTTACAAATGTGAATTGAGAAAGAAATGAACATAACAACCAAACTTTAAAAAATTGGTACTTAAATTTGTATGAAATTATAAGTCTCAAATTTTCCATGCATTATAAAAACTTTATTTACTCCACTTATGAAGGTATGATATAATTATCATATACCTCATGCTATGACTGCCAGCAATATAAGTATATATATATGTGTTAGTTAATAAGACACTATTAATTAAACGCAATCACACGTCATCCATTTTTATCCAAATAAATGAGTCAAAACTTCCCCAAGTAAAAACATATTATCATTCTTTCAATGATTGAATGTAATTGGCAAATTGATTCAATTTAATTTTTATATATGTA